GAGTATGTATTGCATAAATAAATAAACTGCAAACATATGTACTTTGACCGAAACACCATTGCCAGATCAAAATGGAATTGATAGAAACTGCAAAACACAGCTTTTACAGCATACCTCTAACAATAAATAATTCCAATACGAATATCCAAACTAAACATTGGTCCAATAATCCCAAAAAGATAAGTTTTTAAAATGTTTTCCCAAGTCTCAACATAAAAGGTTCAACAAGACCTCATTATTCTAACGGAAGCGAAATAAATAAGCATAATCATAACACCGACCCACTCGTCTTTCCTCGTCACCCGGCACTTGCTTAACCTGCATCCGTGAAGAACATGTGGGAGTGAGCACAAAATGAACGTAGTGCTCACTACTATGCACATAAATAACAACATGTCAAGATGGTATAAGATCCATTTGCCAAATCTACGTTTCATTGGTGTGCTGTGTACAACCATCCAGAAGATCAGCCAGATCGCCATAAATTTTAAGCCGTAAGTTCTCTACGCAAACCTTTAGATCCGCTGCGCATAGGTTTACGTTTTTCTATTGAATTCGTGATTTGTGCATAACGAGATCTTCATTGATCCCAACAATGGTGGGATATCCCTTCACCTGGGAAAATACAGAGACTCTGAGAAGTTTGTTGAATAAAAACTTGACCGCGCATTTGCCTCTCTTGATTGGATAGAGCAGTATCATAATGCCTCAGTTATGAATGTCCTTAAAGGAGCTTCTGATCACTCAGTGATGTTACTTGACTATGGCAAATCACATGTAAGGCCCAAAAGGAGATTCTATTTTGACAAACGATGGTTGGATATTGAAGGTTGTACTGATGTGGTTAAGCAAGCATGGTCAACCCAACACCTGGGAACCCCTTAATTCATTCTCAAGGAAAAAATTAAATGCACTAGATGTGCTTTACTTCAGTGGAGTTGTCAATTCAGAAAGCTAAGACTTGGCAGGATTAGTGATCTTACTGCTCAGCTTGAGGCTTTAAATGTTGAAGGGAGAGATAAAGACTGGGATGCATGGGACAAAACTAGGAGAGAACATAATGAAGCTCATGGCAAGGAAGAACAATTCTAGCAACAAAAGGCTAGGCATCTCTGGCTTAAGCATGGTGACAATAATTCCAGTTTTTTCCATGCATACGTCAGACACAGAGAAAGATGAACTCAATCAGAGATTAGTGGACAAGAACAACACATCTCTTAATACTCACACAGAAATTGAAAACCACAGCACAGAATTTCATAATGCTCTATTCACATCAGAAGGATCATGGGGAGAAGATAATCTGCTACACCTTGTTCCCCACTCTGTCACTGATGACATGAATAGGGACCTTCTTAAGCCAGTGGAGAATGATGAGATTAAGGCAACCCTTTTCAGCCTTGCTCTTGAGAAGGCTCATGTGAAGAAGGTTTGAATCCTCTGTTTTATCAGCATTTCTGGGCTATTATTAAATTGGATTTTATTGCTGTTGTCAAGAGATTTTTCTCTTCTGGAATGCTGCTCAAATACTGGAACCAAACCCTCATCATTTTGATACCCAAATTCAAAAACCCTGACACCATTGACCAATTCAGACTCATTAGTCTTTGTACTGTGGTATACAAGTAAGCATGTCAATAAAACCCGCAGGGTTAGGTTACCCATGGGTTACCCGGATTTTTGGGTCGGGTAAACCCGGATGAGCGAGTTTCGGGTTGGGTTCGGGTAGAATTATACAACCCGAATACCGGGTTGGGTCGGGTGCGGATACAGTAAAAAAATCCGTTATATATAAATATGTATATATATAGCTCATTATAAAAATAAAAATAGTCAGTTATAATTTTGGTTAATCGTTATTTTTTAACAATTTTGTTTACCGTTTTTTGCTAATTGTATAATAAAATATTTAATTACTTAATTTTTAAACATTATATTATTTACTAGACTGCAAAATAAAAAAAATTATCTCATTATTTATCTCAAAAATATTATATATATATATATATATATATATTTTTTTTTTTCTTATTGTAAAACTTAGAGCATGTTTGTTAGGGGAGATAGGATTATATAATTTAATCTTTAGACACAAGGTTAGGGGTGTAGAGATTAAAGTAATGTCATGTTTGTTCTCCTTGATTCATGCAAGATGGTATTATTGTTTAATCTTTATTTTTTGTTTGTAATTCATGATTAAGATTAGGATAAGAAACACAATTTACATATTTGCCCTACCAATATGGATTTGCATGTTTGTCATTTTATTCATATTTGACTGCTTTTTGTTTGTTTTTCCTACTATTATTTTGTTTAATTTTTTTTTTGTTCTTTTTTTATTCTTTTGTTTTTTGGGTTATTTCCAAAAATTTGCATGGGGGGATGTTGTCTTCCCATTTTTTCCCTATTTGAACTCAGTTTTTGGTACTGTGTTCATTTTTTTTGAAACGATTTTTGAATATTAATTACATCTTCTGTCTTCAACTTAACTGTAAAGATTTTGTATTGAAAGATTTGGAAATTACAAACTCATTTTGATGCTACTTCCTCCAATCATTAATCATGCAAAAAGTACACTGAAAAAAATAATAAATTAAAATAAGCAACAACTCACCTGTGAAGCCAAGATTCTTCTGTCAAACATGGCACATTGCATAAGATTTTATTCCTGATGCATGCTACTTGCTCCTGCAAGGTACAGAAAACAGGCTACAAATGGGGTGTTTGTTTATTTGTGGAGGTTTAACACACATGCTAGATTCCCTCAAACCACATGGCCCTTATGACTAATAGCAATAGAAGAGTTATATGTTTTTTCCCCAAGGAATCCAATGCTTCTTGAGTTGCATCTGTAGACAAATCTGGCACTATAAAACTAGAATACCACCCCCAATGCAAAATCGTTCATTTTCATCTCAACTTTGTTCTTCAATTTTACATTCTCTTCCACCTCAAACTCAATGCCTCGCCTTTCCACTCCTATAACGCAAGACGAATGTCTGTACGACACTCGTTGGACAAAAGAGGCCGACAATCTTTTTATTGACTTGCTCATTGAGTCGCATCTTCTTGGAAAGTGGAGTAGTGGTCGTCCCAGGCCTGCTGTCTACGCTTATTGTCGCTCAATTTTCATTGGCGAGCTCGAACAAATTGTTAATTACGAAGAATTTGATGAAAGGTTTGACTTTCTTCAAAAGCGGTACCAAGTTTTTAGCTGGATGCTAGGCAAACGCGGTTTGCGACACTGCATTGAATCAAATATCAACACAACTCCCGTTGCCGTTTGGGACGATATCTTTGAGGTACCTGTTTGTTTCATACGTTTTACGGAAGCATAAATTTTCAAAGTTTATTAATTAATTAAAAAATGCAATTTAACATGATTCATGTGTTTTAAATTTGAGTATTTCAGTCAAATGCTTTTAGCGTTGCTTATCAACATTTCGGAGACCCACGTTGGACGGACTTGCGTATCATGTTCGAGGAGGTGTTTTCTACAAACCCAAGGTCAGAAGTAGTTCATGACCGAACACATGTCCTTGATGACAATTCCTATCACAATGCTTTGCAGACGCTTTGTAGTCGCAACAACGCTCCTCCCCAACATGGTGGCCCACATGATGACTCATCTGAAAGCTCTGTTAACACGCATGCCCACGTGCTAATTAATAGGAGGGGCAGTTGAACCCCATTGCGCATCCCATGCCCATCGCATAAGCCAGACCCAACTTCATGCAAGGGTTCGACTAGCGATCCTCCGTTTTGAAGTGACCCCCGTGTTATCGAGTGAACTTATGTGCGTAGTCTTTGTTTTCCATGTGGTTTAATGTTTTTGTATGTATTGTGGTATAACGTAAGGTAAAACAATGTTGTCTATGTTTTCGTGATGCCTATGTAGTAATGTTTGTATCAAGTATGTGTGTGTTATGTTCAATGGAAAATGTTTGTTCGTCTTACATGTTGGAGTTTGAATTTAAATTTTTGTGCTTCCACTGGACATTTATTTGTCCACAAAATCGTGATATGGACATTTATAACTCTGCATGCTTTGTTTTAATTAGTTCCAATTAAAAAGTGCCCAAAAGGAATATTTGTCACATAACATATTTCATTTTACATTATAAACACTACACCAAAATATTGTTTCTTTCATCCTTACGCATCAGACCTTAATATACTTTCACAAAGTAGTCCATAAACAAGTAGCACTAAAGTTACTAGTGTGGCAATATACTACATACAAAATAATGCCACTAAACCATACCAAGCAACTTCTACTCCCACCTACACACGAAAACACAATACCAAAACAGACTTAATATAAGAAATACGCAGCCACATAATAATACGTTACAGAACACTTATTGCTACTCTGGGTCAATGCCCGACCCGACGTCTGTGTCGACATCCATCTCATCCGGTGCCTCGTCCGAATCAAAGTCAACCACCTGGACAACGGCGGGTTGTGCAACATACTCCTCCTCCTCAACTTTCTCTACATCAGCGCGATGTTGAACCTCATTCACATCATTGCCGGCGCCCTCACCGTCCTCACGCATCGTAATTCTCGAACTCCAAAGCAGCACCTTCAGCGCCCTCTGCCCCGTTCGCCTCATCTGCAGCAACTATTCCGTCATCCGTGTCGGCAAACATGATCGAGTTGTCGCCTCTTTCACCGTCAGCATCCTGCACCGAAGCCGCATCTCGAAGATCCCAAAGCTCCACAAACTACTGGTACCATGGGAACCTAGCATGCCGGAAAAAATATTCCAAATCCGTCTCCTATCAAGTGAAGGGTGTGAAGGAAAATTAAAAATATAATTTAAAATATATAAAACAAAATTTTCCGTACTCCTTGCATGCATGCACGTCCTAAATTATGCATATGGGTACGGACGTATACAATAATAATGCATAGCGGTACGTAACACAAACCTGGCCGATGTACGCCCAGTACGTTGGAGTTACAGTCACAAGACCCGTATCCTCCTAAACATCGACACAGGAAGTGTCAAGGTACGTGAGGAACTCCCGGTAGTAGGTGTGCAGAGCCTTGATCTTGTCCTTCACCTTGAGCACGGAGAAATATAGGAGCGTATCTTCTGTCAGTTGAATGGAAAGGTGATGCCATATTGCGTTCAGGACGGCCGGTTGGTTGACGTCGGGAGTTTCACAGCAAATGTTGAAGAAAATTCTACAGCACTCCCGCTCCTCGTTCGCTGTCCATCCGGGCCGCCGAAACCTCTCCGCAATACGTAGCATGCTTTCATGATGATCCATTTCAATCCGTTTGAAAATGAAGTATGTTATAATGGAAGGAAAAGAGTTGTTTTATTAAGATTCAGGTCTGAAATGAAGAAATATCAAACATTCTTTTACCACATATCCGCATGCAAAAAAAAAAACATATTAGATAAATTTTTTACCTTGTCTTGATATGGTAGTCCCACAGAATAGTTCACCTCCTCTTCTCCCTATTACCACCCATCAATTTATATTGAAATTCATGTGAAATCAGTGGTTTAGAGTATTGGGGTAGGCATGTGAAATCAGTGCTTTGGACGATTGGGTAGGTTGAATTAAATTTCTCATTCAAGGCATGTAATAATGGGTGTAGAAGACTTTCACTCATCCATCTTATCAGTTTTGTGATCACAATTTATTCTTGGTGTGACTGGTAGCTTGATGGGCGGTGGTTCCAGATTTTGTTCATTTTGTTGCTATAAAAAATAGACGTGAGGCTAGTTTTTGGGTGTTTTGCTATTTTGCTATTTTCAATATAATGTTGCATTATACATGACATAGTACATGGCCCATATATATTTTTAAGTGAAAATAAAATGCGAAAAAAAAGGAGGATGAGTGCAAATATCATATTACATATCCTACAGGAAGTTCACCATTACACAAGACCAAAATAACCACATGTAGCGGCCAATGTATAAGCCATATTACAAGTCCAAAAGATAGGCCAATAACAACAAAAGTGCAAATACAAAGGCACAAAATATTTAAGAGCATATCATACCTTCTAACCTACAATTTATTTTCGAGTATCATCTTTACCATTGAAGCTTTCTCCTCTTCGTCCACGCTAAAAAATATATACATTTCTTCTTGGTTCCTACAAAAGTACTTTGTTACGATAAATTTTTGTTCCGTCGTCAACATAGGAATATTCTTTAACGCCTCGTACAAAACCTTTCGTTGCTCCTTCGCGTCGTGTTGGACCCCAATACGTTCCACCATTTGACCCCAACGTTGATCAGCTTTCTCGCATAAAGTAAAGAGTAGGCCGACCACTTCAACCTCCATATCCTTTACATGTTTACGTTTGCCTACCCGTCTACCCTTCCCGGATGCACTACTCTCAACACCCTGTGCAGATGACTCAGTATCATTCTCATTGGATTCAAAGTCACCACCAACCCCGCCACGCCTCACATTTTGTGCGGGGGCATCCTCACCCGTGTTACATAGTACTTCTTGCAACGCGTCAGCGAACCCTTCTGCACCTTCACCTGTTGCGCGGTCCTTTCCAAATATATCTACCTAATCACTGTAAAAGGGCCACGGCTTGTTATGCAATCCTTTAGCTTAGGGATACACCTTCAAGCATACAGAGAGCAGGCTTATGTCAAACAATTGTAAATTTAAAAAACAGTGTTCATCACGGGAGCAAACAAAATAAAATGAATTATTAGTTGATGACAAATATGTGACAAATTTTTAATGTAACAAAATATTTCATTCACAATTGATAAAACAAATTATAGAGAATTATAGTTAAATTGATAAAACAAATTATAACGAATTATAACAAACCTTAACATAATCCTTCCACACCCGGTCCTCAACATCTAGAATGTGACCGGTTTTAGACCACCCAACTCCGGAACCGCTCTGAAGTAGTGGTGCAAGTAAACCATAATTTTCTTTTCCATACCATAACCTTGGACGAGATGTGAGGTTCAGCTCTAATGGTAGTCCCCGGGAACTGTTGCTGCATGTATTGTTCTAAAATCAATGTGTATCCCGAACAGAACCCATTGTCTGCTTTCATCCCACGTGCAACGAGATCCTTCAATCCTTGGATTAATGCACGTTCTTCTTCAAACGCCCAACTCCTTCGTTGACTGTGCTGGTAAGGGCCACGTCCCACGCTAGCTGTAGAGTCCATCACTAGTAAAAAAATGTATTTACAAATGATGATTAGTACGACATTACGAACATACATAAAGGGATCTAATGAGTTCAGAAAATAAAATACAATGAACTTGGACAATTGTACAAATTGAAATTCGGGTGGGTCAAACATGATTGTATTTTTATAACACGCCAAATTCACTCTATTTTGAGTGACTATGTCGAAAAAAGTTTTGCTCCTTAAGACGGTCCATCTCATCTTCAATACTCCAAAGGCCCGTTCAATTAAGTTTCTTGCTCTAGCGTGTCTAAGGTTAAATAATTCCCTATGATTTCTAGGTGCCCATGGACCTTTACCGAATTCATTCTAATGATATCGCACGCCTCTAAATGGTGCTAGGAATCCCGGTCCGTTTGTGTACCCTCCATCGCATAGATAGTAATTACCTGTGGAAGCAAAACAAATTACACAAAATATTAATGTGTGAAAAAAAAACATGTAAATTGATTCAAATAGCGTATTATGCATTAATGTGTGTATTATTGATTGAATCTTATGCAGACTTCAATTCAACTTAAGTCAAGGCTCTCACCCGTAGGAACACGTAACCCACCATTTGTCGTACCGCATCCCTCAAAACTCTACTACCGCAGACCCTTCCCAGCCGACCAATATGTAATAAAAATTCATATCGACATCACATACGCCTAAAACGTTTATCGAAACACTACCCTTTCTATTTCAGTACTTTGGGTGCAAATTACTAGGAACACGTACAGGAACATAGGTTCCATCTAATGCTCCCAAGCATCCCTGCATAGCATAATTGTAAAAGAACGAAAAGGAGAACAATAAGAACAATTAAGTGCTAAATCAATAATTTTTTTTATTTATTTATTTTTCAAGTAACACTAACCTTAAGCCATTTCCATCTCCAATCATTATTGGACTCATCAACAGGTTTAGGTTGTACGATGATAAGCGGGTATAAGCGTAGCACAGCTTTAAGTACCATATGAAAAATTTTGCTAATTGTTTGACCGGAGCGCTTGAAATCAAATTTGACAACCGCGTTCTTTTTATGATGACTTAGCACACTCAAGAAAATGGCCACTTGCTCACTTATTTGCATATTTCGACTACTTTTTAGTTTACCAACATGCTCCACAAAAAAAAAAAAAAAATTCTCTCTCTTGAGAGTTTTTCTTTCTCGATTGAGAATTTCAATCTCTTCTAGCGAGTTGTTCTTCGAGAGGAGAGTGGGGTGTAAGGAGTGATCTTTGGTGAGATTGGGTTTTCTTAGTGGGCTCTTTCAATTTGTGTCTTTCCGGCAGCGGGGAATTTTAGGGTTGGGGGATGGATAAAGAGGAGGACGCATTGGAAGTGCTTATGGAGAAATTTTCAATGTCCGAAAATGAAATTTCCTATATTGATATTGAAGATAGAGATGTTCGAGCCAGTGCTGAGGAGTGTAGCAGAAGTTTATTTGGGAAGGTTGCTGGAGAGAAGCGTGCTAATTGGATTGGCATTAGAAGGGCAATGGCTCAAGCATGGAGGACGGGAGACGCCCTAGAGGTGAGAGAACTGGACAATAATTACTTCCAATTTATATTCCAGACTAAAGAATTGAAGAAGAAGGTGGATGTGAATAGAAATTGGGTTTTTGATAATCAATACCTAATTCTACATGAATGGAAGGAAGGGCTAAATAATAATAGCGAATGTTTTGAACCTCTGGGTGCAAGTGCATAATGTTCCCCTGAATTGGCTGAGCACTGAGGTGGGATTGAAACTCAAACGGATGTTTAAAGGGATAAAGAATGTTCATATTGCCAGAATTGGGAGTCAAGGAGGTCGTGTGTTGCGAATTTAGGCAACTCTTAACTTGGGGGAACCTATTCCAAGGTGGGCAAACATAAGATTGGGAGAGACCGCGGTTGTGGTGCAATTCAAATATGAGAAATTGATCAACCTCTGCTACTATTGTGGTAAGATTGGTCATTCGGACAAAAACTGCATTAAGAAGATTTCGGACATTGAAAAAAATGAATTCAAGGAAGGGCAGTATGGTGAGTGGGTTAAAGCAGCAGAGGGAGTTCACTGGTTTGAGGGGTCTTATCAGAGCAATTATACCACTTCGGAGGATCAGCAAGAGGATAGGAATCAAGTCCATGGAAGTTCATCCAAAAATGGTGAAGGTGAAAAGGGCTCTTCTAACAAATTAGATGGGTTGCAAATTCAATTATCCAGCTCAAAGGAGATAATTATGCAGCCAGTGCAGATGGAAAGTCCTCCAATAATGGTAGTGGCTGAGGAGAGTATTCAAAAACCAGTGGAAACTTCAGGGAGTAAAGATGCAGCCTTGGATGTCTCAATGGTGGCTGTGGAGGAAACTATGAAATCACTGAAAGGTAAGATGATTATTCCTCATCTTGTTCCAGATCCTGTAGAAACATTGCAAAAAATTCCAAGAACCTGGAAAAGGAAAACTGATAAGACAGGGAGACTCTAAAGGAAGATAGGACAAGATAAGGAAAAGCCATCAAATGGGGAGAAGAAGAGACCAGTGACAGAAATTGTTCCCTTTATCAGCGAAGGTGGAGAGTCTCTGGAGATGGCAGAGGATAGAAAGAAAGCCAAAACTCAATCTGTAATGGTGAAGGCAGCCAGCCAGGAGTGGCTCCACCCCTCCCAATGATAGTTATGGTGTGGAACTGTAGAGGGCAGGGTGGGCCCTCCACAGTTCCCCAATTGCGAGAGTCCTTAAAGGCTCACCATCCAGGGTTTTTGTTTCTTTCTGAAGTTAAAAAACAAAAAGATTTTGTAGCAAAAGTGTGTAGTAAGTTGGGTTTTGAAGAGAGATAGTTTTACTGGGATCCTAATGGGAGCAGAGGTGGTTTATTATTATGCTGGGAGAGGAATATCGAAATTGTTCAGGTGAAGGGTCATGATTTCTGTATCCAGGTGCAGTTTCAGGTGGATAATTCTACCAAGACAGAATGGATTAACTTTGTGTATTTGAGTACTAATAAGAAGGAGAGGGAACTTCAATGGAGATATTTGCAGGAAGATAAAGACCAATGGGGAGAGGAATGGATCACTATGGGAGACTGGAATGATATTAGTAGCAGGGAGGAGAAAAAAGGAGGAAGAATGAGAAGTGACAAAAGCTTTGAGGGTTTTAACAAATTCATTGCAATTATGGGTATGTCCTTGATCAGGATGGAAGGGTACCAATATACATGGGGCAACAATAGAGAGGAGGAGGGATATGTTGAAGAAGTTCTAGACAAAGCCTTTGGTTCACTGAGATGGATGGAGTCTCACCCTCAGGCAAAGGTCTCCAACATATTCAGAAGTTCTTCTGACCATGGCATGCTACTTCTAAGTAGTGATTGCAACTCCAGACCTATGAAGCCCAGATTTGTTTTTGACAAAAGATGGATTTGCAGGAAAGGAGTGAAAGAGGTGGTGAACTCTGCCTGGAGAGGAGTTGAGTCTGGGACACCTTTTTTCATTCTAAAAGAAAAGATCAAGAAAACCAGGCTAGCTTTGTGTCAATGGCACAGAAATTTCAGAGCTGAAAGTAAAGGCAAGATTGACAAGTTAACTCTCACCTTGGAAGAAATGAGGAAGTTGGGTGGGAAAAGAAACTGGGAGGAATGGGAATCAATTCAAGCTGAACTAGATGCTGCGCTTGTCTCTGAGGAGCAATATTGGAAACAGAAGTCAAGGATTATGTGGCTAAAAGAAGGGGTCCGTAACACAAAATTTTATCATGCAATGACAGTCCATAGAAGGAAGAAAAATGCTATATCTAGGCTGGTGGAAGGAAGAAGAAGCTTTGAAACTCCTGATGCAATTGAAGAGCATGTTATTGATTTTTATGAGCAATTGTTCACATCTGAAGGATCAAGTGCTGAAGATGAGGCCCTCTGTAATATTAGCACTGTTATTTCACAAGAAATGAATGAGCACCTTATTAGAGCTGTGGAAGTTGTTGAGATAAAAAATGCACTTTTCCAGATGAATCCCCTCAAAGCTCCAGGAGAAGATGGGATGACTGCCCTGTTTTATCAGCACTTCTGGCCTGTGATTGAAGAAGATGTATGCAAAGCAGTTCTTAGCTTCTTTGAGTCTGGTCAAATCCTCAGGTACTGGAATCAAACACTGGTGGCTCTTATTCCTAAATGTCTTGCTCCTACTTCACTGAGTATGTTCAGGCCCATAAGCCTGTGTGGAGTAGTGTACAAATTAATATCCAAGATCTTGGCTGATAGACTGAAGCAGTGTCTGGATGTATGTGTAAACCAGGCCCAAGCTGCCTTCATCTCAGGAAGGCAGCTCATGGATAATGTTGTAGTAGCTCAGGAGATCTTCCACTACCTCAACAGACATAGATCTGGGCCCCACTGCTACATGGCTTTAAAGTTAGACATGCTAAAAGCCTATGACCGTGTGGAGTGGCAGTGCATTAAAAAGACTATGGAGAAGATGAGGTTTGCTACTGAGTTTATAAAGTGGATTCTAGCATGTATTTCTACCTCTTCTTTCTCAATTCTAGTTAATGGAAAAGCAGTTGGGTACATTAGACCTACAAGGGGCTTAAGGCAGGGTGATCCAATTTCACCCTACCTCTTCCTTCTCGTGTCAGAAATCTTCTCCTCTCTAATTCAACTAGCTGCTGATAGAGGTCAGTTCAGAGGCCTTAGAATTGCAAAGGGTTGTCCTGTGGTTACTCATCTATTATTTGCAGACGACTCTTTGGTCTTCTACAAAGCAGACCAAGAACAAGCTGAGAGACTTCTGCATATTCTTCAAATTTACCATCAATTTTCTGGGCAGAAAGTGAACTTAGCCAAATCTACTGTGTTCTTCAGTCGAAACACCCCTCATAATCTCAAACAGGTTGTGTGTTCTATTTTGAATGGGGTTCAAAATCATAATTCAACAAGGTATCTGGGGTTGCCTTTGGGAATTGGAAGGTCTAAGAAGGAAGCCTTTGAGTTCATCATCCAAGCTGTTAGGAGGAG